GGCGCTGCCCCGGCACAGCGGTGGCACCGCCCCGCACTGGGACCGTGGGCAGCCCTCCCAAAATGAGCCGTGCCAGGAGCAGACGACAAGGCCAGGTCTTGGGATGACTCTGTCACATCATCCCCAGGCCTGATGCCAGCCCTGTTGGTGCCCCAGACTCACCTGGCCAAGGTGAACAAGGGGCGGTGGGATCCTCAGCGGCTCTGCTATCACGTGAATGATGCCATTGAAGGCTACGATGTCCCACTCCACAATCATCGTGTCATTGAGCCCCTTGGCGTCCTACAGCACAGGACACAGGTGACCTCACCTGCCCAGAAAGGCCCCCCATCATTCCCTGTCTCAAAAGAGATGTGATGAAAACTTGTGGCATTTTTTGCCCTCTGCCAAGGCTAAACCTACTGAGTGCTTTGTACTGTTGCTTGCTGGGAGCTCTGATACGTGGAGGTCATATCCTGACTGGGATGGGATGATGGTGCCCGTTGTGAGGTTGAAGCTGAAGAGGATGACATTGCTGGATGACACGTGGAGCTTCAGTTCTTCTCCTGTCAGTGTCTGAATAAGCACCAGTGCACAGGGGTGAGAAATGGATGAGCTGATCTCTCCCTTTCCCTGCTACTGTGCAAGCCCCAGCCAAGGCCAGGCTCCTCTTTCCCCAAGCTATTTCACACTGTCATGCCAGCTTTGCTGACACCTCCTCTCCTCTGGGGCTCTGACAGTTCATCCCTAGTTGCTTACCTCATTGTCTGCAAAGCCAGAATTCAGAGGGGCAAAGAGAGTTTTGGGAGCAGAGACATCAGACAAATACATGAAAAAATCCAGTCCTTCTTCTGTGTCATTGGCAAAGTTGAGCAACATCTGGAAGAGATGGGAGATCTTCCCCATCAGCACATTGCTGGCAGCACAATGCCATCCCCTTCCCCAGCCCAGGAACCCCCCAGCCCTGGACAGAAACCCCCTCTGTGTCTGTAGCCTCTGCCTTGCAGACAGCCCAAACCCCAACTCCTCCCTTCCCAGCTGCTCCCTCCCTGCCTGGCTGCTCCTGCAGCACCAGGAGAGCGTTGCTTACGGAATAGAAGGTGGAGAAGCGTTCCTGGTCTGCGAGCACATCAGGCAGTTTCCCACTGCACCAGTACCCATCTCCCACAAAGCCATCACGGCAGCTGCAGGTCACGTCTGCAAAGGAACACCAGGCTGTGATGGGATTGCCAGTGCTGGCTGCACCAAGCACCTTTTGATTTCTGGTACCCTCATCACATTCCCTCTGGGCATGGCCATGGGGAGAGGCCACGGGCTGTGCCCGCCTGCCCCGCTCCAGGGCAGTTCCTGCCTGCTGCCCTGACACAGGACTGTCCCCAGGGGAGTGCTGGCACCCTCACCCTTCTCCCGGTAGCAGAACGCATCCCAGGTCTCGCTCAGGTTGCTTCGGGAGCCGTAGTCCACGATGCCCACATGGCCGGCCCCACAGCTGGGGTTGGGGTAGGCTGTGGGGTATCCAGCTGTGCCATTGTCCAGCCAACCCACCAAGCACAGATGGAATCCCATCTAGAAGAGGAAAACCAATTATTAGGTTAAAAATAGCTCCGCCCCAGATTTTCTGCCCCAATGAACATTCCCATTGTACCTCACCCACCATACCCCCAGCACCCAAAGTGTTGGGCATGGTCACAAGTCCCATCCTAGTGTGCCTGGCAAGACCCACCAGCCCTCCCGTTTCATGGATGTAGATGGAGCAACAGGGCCTGGCTGAGGGGCTGAGAGGCCCCACCCACATGTTCCCCCTGGGCTGGCCCAGGCCCTGGGAGATGCATGGCCTGTCCCAGCCCCACGAGGACACAGAGCCATCCCTGCCCTGACCTGCAGCGCTGCTCCCAGCTGCTGGAATGTGGCCAGGGAGGCGCCTTCTGCAGCACAGGCTGCCTGAGCCTGCTCGTAGGTGAAGTCGTACTTTTTTCGGGGTGACTGCAGGTGAAACACACCCATGGTTTTATCTGCAAAATACCAGAGCCCAGGAGCATCAGTACAGGGCACACTGAGCCACCTCCCTGGGCAGCCACGTGTGTGACCATGGGCAGCACTGCCAAGGAGGTGGGATGTGGACAGGGCATGAGTGAGGGAGAGGCTTCCTCTGAGCTTCTCACCTCCCACACGGGAGCCACTGCCACCAGAGGCCACGTCACATGGAGCAGACAAGCTCCATGGCTCACCCTTCCCATATGACATGTAGGAAAATGTGAAAGCTACAGAGATGAGCCCCTGTCCCCTTGGCCATCCCACCCTGCAGCTCTCCTGAGGGGAGCTCCAGGCCAGAGGTGGAGGATGAGGGAATGTGGCCTCTCCATGGAGCACCGTCCCTGGCCATCAGGGCTGAGCACACACTCACCGTGGAAGTGCAGGTCAGTGCAGATGGCCTCACGGTGGCACTGCCCGTTGGATTCCAGGCACCGGTCTGTGGGGGGCACGGCCACCTCCAGGCACTGGATCCCGTCACCAAAATAGCCCTGCTTGCACTCGCAGCGCCGCTCGTTCTGCAGCAAAGGGAAGGTGGGCAATTGTGTGAGTGCAAACACACTGGGGATCCTTGCATCCCTGTGGGGATGGGGATGAGCCCTCAGAATGCCTCTACAGCCTGCTGAGGCTGAGACAGAGCTGTGGAAGGCCACATGGCCTTGTGCTACCCCCACACCCAGGCAATGTCACATGGAGTCCTTGCCTATCTTCTGGCCTGTGGTGATCAGCTTTGGTTCTTCTGCAAAAATAGCCAGCATTGTCCTTGAAGGACCATCCAGGAGCCCCCAAACCAGCCCAGGAATGACACAACTGACACAGCTTTTGCTCCTTAGACAGAAGAGGGGGGGGGAACGGCCTCAGCCCCAGAACTGTCACAGCAGCACAGCCCCTCCCTGGTAAGCACCCCCAGGATGAGCACAGCCCCTGAGGGCACCGGAGAGGAGGGGCAGGGGACTGCAAGAGGGGGGACACTGTCACAGGGCTGTCCCCGGGCACCCAGCTGGGCGGCTCTCCCAGTCACACGGTGTCCCCGGCCCTCGGGGCCGCGCTCACCGGGCCGGTGCTGATGCAGAGGGCGTGCTCGCTGCAGTCCCCGTTCCTGCCGTCGGCACAGCGGTCGATGGGCTCGCAGATGTAGCCGTCCCCTCGGTAGCCGGGGCTGCAGGCGCAGGACACGTTCACGCCCGTTTGCGAGCACTGTGCGTGCCGGGCACAGCCCCCGTTGTCCTGGCTGCACATGTCGATCACTGCGGGAGGGAAGTCCTGGGTTAACTAAACCATCTCATGAGGTGTCCTGGGGGTCAGCCTGGCTGTCCTGCCGGCTATCAGCCCAACGTGGCCATCGGCAGACGGTCACCTGCTGTCCTGCCCCGTGTCCGCCCCCCTGCAGCCCAGCCCGTACCTGAGCAGGTCCTCCCGTCCCCCTCGTAGTGCAGGTCGCACTCGCAGAGGTTCCCGGCGCGGCAGGCGGCCTGGGCGTGGCACGGGGGAGAGCAGGTGGGTGTCACCACTGAAACCAGAACACACCCGGCCCACAGTGACCGCAGGGCTGGGACACGGGCACGGCTGCCACCACCGGCCTCTGCCTCAGGCCACCCACCTCACATTCCCACCTCTCTCACTCCCCGTTCTCTTCTGCAGATGCCTTGCCCAAACACAGAGGTTTGTTACTCCATTGAGCACACCTCAGATCTTCACCTCAACCTCGAGCCCTGCCTGGAGCACCTCTGAGCCCAGGGACTTGCTCATGATCCAGTAGAGCTTTTCTCATCTGCCCCTTCCTCATCACCCCAACCCTTGTGAAATTCAACAGCATGTGGCAGATCTTGGGATGACCCTCACAACCCAGAGCTCCTTTTTGGAGATCTTTCTGAACAGCTCCCAGGAAAGCAGCCATGTGGCAGCAGGTCCCAGGGAGCAGCAGGTGGTCCCAGGGAACGGCTGAGCACCCCTCACCCAGTCTGGTTTCACAGCGCTCCCCAGTCCAGCCCTCGGCACAGAAGCAGAAGCCGTCGCCGTGTAGGCCTCCATTGCACACACCATTCTCAGTACAGTTGCACTCTGTGAGGAATGGACAAACACGGCATTTATGCCTTGGTGAAAGGGCCTGGGACAGCCACGTGGCAGAAATGGGGCATTGTGGGCAGGTGTGAAGGTGGGCACAGGAGTCTGACACATCCCTTCCTGCCAGTCCTGGCCCCCTGTCACACACGCCCTTCACAGAGGAAGAGAAGCCTCTGCACCCACAGTACCCATCAGTCCTCTCCCCTGGGCATTTCTGGAATGTGTTTCTCACTCTGAAACATTTCCTGAGGCCCCATGAGGTCTGGTTTGGGATGGGAGGATGGAGGATTCTCTTTTCCCTTTCTTTGCTTTTGTCTCACATGGCACAGATCCCTGCTGAGCATGACCCAGCTGGTGTTCTTTCTGTACGGAGTTCATCACAACTTCTGCATCCCCCAGCTCACAGCACAGTGAAATACTTTCTCCCAAACCGGGGCTCTCAGCTGTGCTCGACAAACGAGGAGGGTTCTGATGCTGTGGCGTTATGAGC